CCACTGTCAGCCCTTTGCATATTTGCTGTCAATTAACCGAATCAGCTTTTTTGTTTGCATTCCGTATTATGCCCTATGTGTTTACAGGGAGTTATATGTAATACTAAATAGAAAAGATATAACCTAATGTTTATGTTTACTTAAAATTCAAAGGAATACAAAAAGTGAATGATAAATGGCTTTTTAATAATAGAACAGATTAAATATAATTTATATAAACAACACTTAGCACTGTTCAGATATTCAATGCCAACTCTATAAAATTAAATTACTATTTAAGTATTTTTTATTCTCAAGATTTGTTTACTCCCGTGTGGGTAGTATATGAGGTATTATGTTTTTGAGCTTGAACCGGGAACTCAAATATTTTGACTGGCATAGAACTTTGTAGAACTTCCATATTCAGGCCCTGATTCATTACAGAGATTACAGAGATCTTTGCATTATGTATAGGATTTATATGGGCTTGAGAGTACATAAAACTGATCCATCAAATTAAAATTTTTGTTTTCAGCTTCATCAATCGTATAGAAACATATAAGAAAGGGTATTAGATAGTGGGCCCTCTAAGTAATACTCAAAATTTCTTCATTCATTTGAAATTGATCATCCCCGCTTCGTTGACTGAGGACACGGACGGTTATTCAATAGTCGAATCTGTCATGTAAAACCAGGAATTTGTTCCTTAAAATTAAATTTATCAGTCGAAAAGATAGGGTATACATAGAATAATTGCTAATGCTCAAATTTATCTTCCCAGCTTCGTCAATTTAAGAGTAAGCGGGACGTTAAGAAAGAGTATTCAATAGTGGGATTGCTTAAGCATTCAGATCTTCATAGATTCGCCAAGATCTTAGCTGCTTTCAGCCCAAATTGAAGACACCAATAGCAGAGGGTATTCAATAGTCGTGCTTCTCGAGTTGAACCCAAAAATGGTTCATTAAATTAAAATTTATCTTCCCACCTAATCATCAGCGTTCGCAGCTGAACTTTTCGAACATTTCGATTGACAGCAATGGAATGCTTGGCTAAAAAATGTTTGTTTTGAGAACATCATGAAATACGATGGGGGCGGGGCGGGGGCGGCAGAACTTGCAACTGGCAACTGGGCTAGCGTTATATGTGCTCCATAAATTATGTGAACTCTTGACTATTTTTATGTCCGAGCATAAACATTTCCATCATTTCATTTCATTTTCATTTTCATTTTTCTGTTATTGTTTCTTTTTTTTTTTATTATTTATTTTTGTATTTTTCTCCTTTCAGAGCCAAGAAAAGCAAACAAAACAAAAACAAACTGAGAGGCAAACAATTGCGAGCCAATTTCAATTACCTAATTGCAGGTAAACTCAAATCAATCCTAAATCCAAATTTGATAAATTGTAAACAAGCAGAGAGATAGAGACAGCGAGTCAAAAAGAGAGAGAGAGAGAGAGGGAGATAGCTAAATGGTAATTAATAATGTTTTTTGTTATTTTCTTATATTTATTTTTATTTTTTTTATATTTTCTCTCTTTTTTAGGGGTTTCTCAAACATTTTAGTTAGTTAAGGCTGCTGTCCAGGCAGATAAATTGTTTATAAAAAGAAAACAAATTCGGCCCGATTTTAAGTACACATCGCAGTAACATTGCCTTGCTTAAGGTCAGAGCTGTCAGACCTATTTTAAGAAGTTGCTCGAGTTGCTTGTAGCCCCTTTTAAAACAAGGCTAAGCAGGGCGTAATGCCACTGTGCACAGTCCGCAGAGGGCGTGGCCGAGCCCATAAAAGTATGTATATTGATCTGTTTGCTCTTGTGCTTGAATCGATTCATCTCGAAATATGTAAGCGGTGCAGTACGGGCTTTAAAACATACGCAACTCGGGTTACTCTTGTCTACATTATCGATTTCTGTTCGATTTTAATCGATAACAAATTTCTTTTCTTAAGTGTACATCTTGTTCTGTTTAATTAATCATCTTCTTCAATTTATTTTCTGATGTAGCTGAAGTTCTTGTCCCAAAATCAAAAGAAACTTATTTTGCATAGGTTTTACTTGATATTTTATCAGTTCACTCCAAGTTTTTTTTTTTTTTACTTTTTTTTGGGAGTAGTATTTTTTCCTCATAATCTTGTTTCCTTCGTTTTCATTTCAGCTAAGAAAGAAGAAGCAGACTCGTCTAGCTTAAATCTCTTTCGCATCACAATTCCAGTATTCAATGAAGGTTGGAAAGTCTTTTTTGGCTTTTAATATTAATAGCCATAAATAATGTTGTATTATTATTATTATATTTTTTTTTTGCTAACTGATGATTTTTATATTTAAGAAATGTTATTTTCTAAAGCGTTGGCTAAGTTATAAAGTTTATTTATTTTCAATAAATTGTTTTATTTAACCTTAATTGTGAATACTGAATATTACGCTGTTTAAGAATATTTTCATTTGGGTAGGAAATGTGGTATTACTACTACTGTTTCTATCACGAATATTTTTAGTGATATTACTTCGACTGTTACCATATCTAGTGATACTATTTCTATTACTATTACTACTATTTTCATTATTATTACTCTTGCTGCTACTAATACTACTTTTTCTGCTACTTTTGCTATAATTCCTCCTACATATACTATTTCATCTGCTATTATAATTTATATTATTTTACCACTACTACTAATTCTATTACCTTACTACTAGGTAATAGATTTAGTAGTATAATATAAGTAATAGTAGTAATAGTAGCAGATGAAGTAGTATCTGTAGGCGTAATTATTGCAATGAAATATTAGTAGTAGTAGCTAAAAAATAGAGCTACTATAGTATTATTTCGTTACTTACTTCTCTAGATACTACATATTTCATTTGCTACCATTACCACTATTACTTCTACTACTACTACCAGCTTTACTTTACTACTACAATTTCTTCAGCTACTATTACTACTTCTACTACTACTGCTAATTCTATTACTACTACTATTTCTTCAACATACATTACTACTATTACATATACTACTACCTCTATTCTATTTATTAGTACAATTCTTTCTTCACCTACTATTACTACTATTACTTCTACTATACTTCTAATACCATTACTACTATTTTTTCCGCTACTATTACTATTATTATTTCCACTCCAACTGCTTATTCCATTAATACTACTATTTCTTCAGCTAATAATACTTTTACTACTACTAGTACTGACTAGCATTCTACCTACTATTTGTCATTATTTATACTACTGTTCATTACTATTATTACAACCATTTATAGCATTTACTACTACTGTTTATTATTATTCCTACTACTATTACTACAATTTACTACTATTATTACAGTTACTACAATAATCTAATATTTCTATTTATAATAGTGTAACCTAATCTAATATAGCTGACATATGTAGGTATTCCACATAAAAATGAACTCTTAGTATTTGTTTTTATACACCATTAACTAGACTTTTCGTACTGCCTTCCATTTATGTTTTCATTACCTAAAGTGAACTATGATATACATGAAATCCTTTTGAGATTTTGCATGCAGTATTTCGCTGATATATGCGTGCTGCGAAAGAAAGAGACAGAGAGAGAGAGAGAGGGAGGGAGGCAGAAGAATTGTGTACCATTGTCTTGTATTGCATTGTTGCTTACTTAGTTACTGGCACTTACTGTGTGTTTTCTGTTTTCTGTTTTTTATTTTTTTTTTCTGTCCGTCTTCGTCAAATTAACACCTAATGGCTGCTTGGGCCCGGGCGCCATAAAAACTGAAGCCGTGGCCACTGGGCAATTAACAAGCGTGGCAAAAACAACAAGCAACAACAACAAGAGAAGCAACAACAACAAAAAAAAAAAAAAATGAAAGCAAAAGAAAAGGAAAACACATCAGATATGTAAATGTAAACTTTTAACTGGGCAAACTCTCAATGATGGTCGTTGGCCCGGGGGCCAAGCACGTGGATATGGGCGTCGCGCATTCAATGCTGAACTGAACTGAACGGTACCCATGGCCCGTTATGTAGTGGTACGTTGTGTGCTGTAGCCGGTGGTTACGTCATTTAAAGACACGCAACTTGGCGAAAAGGCGAATGTTTTCATTACACTGCCTCTGACTCTGCCTCCGCCATCTCTGTCTGAGTGTGTGAGTGTGCGTGTGTCTGTCTGTGTATGTGAGTGTGTGCTACTGTTGTATTGTGTGTTGTTTGTTTGTTCAACTGTTTGACTGACAGCGGTGCGTACGTCAGACCCCAGCGTTTAACTGCTTGACGCACGGTGCCATTCATACGGAGAATGTGTGACATACGATTTTCTTCGTAATCATTTTCTTTTATAGAAATTTTTATTTTTATTATTTTTTTTTTTTTGAGCTGTTGCTTATCTTTTGTAGCGCCTGGCATTAGGCAATGGCTATTTTCATTTAATTTTTGGTCGCATTGCTGTTGCTGTTGCTGTTGTTGTTGCTGTTGTTGGTGATTTGGTTGGAAGTTCTTGTCCATGTTGCTGGTGCAGCTTTTAACACGCATACCAGCGCGCCTCTAACACGCACACCAGCACAGCACAGCTGCGCTCACCTCTCTGTCGCTGTGGGTGTGGTGAAAAGCTCGCCGCATTTGGTTGCCTGCTGCCTGCTGCTGCTGCTGCTGCTGCTGCCTGCGTTACGTTTACGTGTGGTGAGTTCGTTGCTAGTGTGCGTTATATAAGTCGGCTATGAACCGCAGCCCGCCGCTCCACACACATGCCGCACGCAACTTGAAGCAGCGCCAGGAGCCGTAGCAGCGGCCCCAAATTCACCACGGACCAAGTTGGCAGCACCGTGCAGCCCCATTCATGTATATATATATGTGTGTGTGTGTGTGTGTGTGTATAGTTCTTGTGCTTGCTGTTAATGCTCAACGCACACACTGACACACACACACACACACACACACACACACACACAAAGACGTGGAGAGACTGGGCATACGAGACACACGGCTCTCATCTGGCACACCATTAAATGTTTGTCGGTTGGTTCGTTCGCTCGTGGAACGTGGCAACGCTTTCAGTCGTTGATTTGACCGCCAAACAAACGCAACGCAACTCGAGTGCGCCAACACGTCGAACACGTACACAAACACCAAGAGCAGCAAGCGCAGTCAGCGCATCCAACAACAAACGCCATAAATATAATATTTCTAACAACAGTTTGTTCGCCTTGTTACCACTTTTTTTTTTTTTGTTGTTGTCGACAAATATATATATATATATTTTTTTAAAGTTAACAGTTTTTTGCACAATAAATGCCTTAACGAAAATATATATACAGATATATATATTTATTCAAATATTTAATATAAAATTTAAATAAAATTTTACAAAATAAACAAGCGAGAAATATCAACGACGTCAAGTATTGAAAGTAAGCAACAAAACAAAAGTGAAAATAAAAACAAAAAATAAATGAAATAACGGAAATTAAAAAACAACAACAAATGCCTAATGAAAGCATGCAGAACAAAAGCAACTATAGCAATAACAATAACAATAACAATAACAATGAGCAGCCAATCAGGCAATGATAAAGCACAGAGACAAAACAAAAAGGACCAAAACATCAAGTGTTTATATCACCTATATATATAGATATATATAAATGTGTTGCATACCTTTGTGCTGCAGGAAAGTCGCAAATATATATATATATATATAAATATGATTACATACATACATAATGTAGATATATTTATATATGTATTTGTATGTGCTTGGAATGTGGGGCTTGGCATTTGTAACGCTTACAAAACTTGACCCAAATTAACATTCTGCGGTCCAGCAGTTGCCGCTTTTCAAAGGCAGCTCGAATGGGCTGCAGGTGGAAGCTGCGATTTGACTTGCACACACACGCACACACATGCATAGACGGAGGGCACACACACACACGCACGCACACAGAGAGAGAGAGAGACAGACACAGACAGAAACACACACGCACACACACACATACAAGCAGACAACGTGCAAGGATTATGTAAACAAAAAAATAAGTTGATTCACTCCCACTAGCAGAGGCAGCAGCTGCGGTTGCTCCTCGCCCCGACCGTTCCGCCCGTTCCAGCTGCCCGCCCCGCTCTGCCCCGCCGTGCCCTGCCTCGCCTGTCACACTGTCAGTTTGTCATTTTGTAAGTCTTTCACTCTCGGATGGCATGCCCCCTTAACGCTGTGCCACCCGCACCCGCAATACACTGGCACCTCAATGGGTGCAATCACCCACACAAATGCCATGTAATCATAATAAATACAAGCCGAGGCTGAGAGAACCAGCAAGTGAGACAGAGACACAGACATACTGAGCGAAAGAGAGGGAGAGAGAGAGAGAGAGAGAGAGAGAGTAGGTAGCTACTACTGGCAGGGTATATTGGATGTCTGCTTTGTCCAAATGCAATCCGAAATCTGTCGCTGGCTTAGCTACACGAAGATTGCGTGCCGAGCCTCAATTGCCGCACATTCGACAGCTGAAACGTGACAACAACAACAACAACAACAACAACAACAACAGCAACTCACAGGAAGTGCCTTTTAATTTATAACAATTATTAAATAATTGATAATGCAACAAATCTCTTTACAACAAACGCGAGGCCATCGTCCGAGCAACGCCAAGTGTCAAGAATTTTGTCATTCCAATGTAATTTGTGGTGCTTCAGTGAATTAAAAAAAAAAATAGAAAAATTTTGTATGCTGACAATTTTGAAGTAACTGTAACTGACAATAATAGACTTCTAGGTATACCCAATAGATACGTTTAATTGGCAAAATTCTCAGAAAAGTTATTTTTGTTGCCGAATTTTCGTTCCTAAAGTGTTAAGTGTAAATGGGTTTTGTGAAAGGCTCTTTACACTTGAATTTCTTGAATACATTTTCACACTTTTCTTTTAATGCTATTTCATAAAGCGTTATGAGGGTCCAGGCTTTGTGTTTAATACGTTTGGAGCGCTCAATAAAAAGCTAGAAGCGTAAATGGGTTTTGTGAAAGTTCCCTTGAGAGACTCGATTTTTTGTTATCCAGTTTTCACTCGCCTCGCAAAGTGTTAATTCATTTTAAATACCCGCTCAAAAAAGGTGAAGAGTATATGGGACTTGTGCCTAATACTTTAGAATACTCCAGCACATTGCTTAAGATTATAGATGTGTTTTGAGCTTAATACTGCTAACAAAGCTTTAAGAGAAGGTTTTGTGAGTGGCTCCTCAAAAGTTAGAGATTCGACTTTTGGTATCCAGTTTGAATACTTCTAAATACCTTTTGAATACTTATTGACATTGAATATTTTACGCATATTCCTCAAGCGTATATTTGGGGCTTGTGCTCAGAGTATCTGGGTTCTGAGAAAGGTTCTTTTGTTTTGACTCAACTCACTACGTGTTCATATTTTTTAATACTCTCTGAATCCTTACTCATATATCTCATAAGTGTATTCGTCTTTGCGCCTAATGTTTTACCATGCATTACGAGCATATAGCATTTGTGGAATATCCATTGGTGGCAAAAGACTTGCATTTGGGTTATCTAGTTTACCTTTGAATACTTTTTGAATACCCATGCACATTCAATATTTTACAGAAAGTAAAGAGTATTTAGGTTTTGTGAAAGGTTCCTCTATGGTTAGAAACTCGTATTTCGGTTTGGACTCGTCTGACAAAGTGTTCATAGTTTTTGAATACCTTTGAATACTCACGCCCATTTCTTAAATGTATATCAAGGCTCTGTGCGCAGTGCCTTAGGGTCTTATAGATTTTGTGGATTTTCCATTCGTAGTTAGTGACTGGACTTTTTCGAATTTATGAACTACTCGTCTGACGAAATTACTTTTTGAGTGCTCCTTCACAAAACCTTGAACAGTTTCGAATACTTGTTTTAAATACTCGATAGAAAAACGAAGACAGGCAATATAGGTTTTACTCTGGTAAGGAAACAAAGATGATAGTATGTAGGTTTCGTGGTATATCCATCTGTAGCTGAAGCATTCAATGGCCACTTTCGACTTGCTGCCTTATCAAGTCTGAATACCCACTTTATACGTTTTTTACGCCGTGCCTTCCATGTCCCTCTCTACATGAATTCTTTTATATACTTCTAACTCAGCTACAGTTTAATACTTTTGGAATCCCCCACCATCTAGCCCGCATAGCTTTACAGCCTGCCAGCGCAAAGTTTGCTCTCATAAATTACGGTTGACCCAGCTCAGTAGTAGCATAATTTATCAGGTGGTGCGCCCGTCGAGGAGTGGCCAATCGAAAAATATCGATATTTGATTAAGTTCGGTTGTTAGTGGGAGTCGGGAAACTATAATTATGCTGTCCTGTGCGCTCGACTTCTAACATATTCTTGTTGCCCTACATAGGATATATGGATAATTTATTGATGTGCTTTATGCTTTACAACCCTGAGAGCTATGGATTTTTGTTAATAGATACATAGTCTATCTGGGGCTTGATGTGTTTAGATGCGAGTGAATAGATATGTCCTTATGTGAATTTGTATTTCTGGCATTCGACGAGGCATTAGCGTAGACAGCGGAGACCCTGAGGAGTGATTGAAACTTTCAATTCTTCATTGCCTTTAATGAGATAATAAGCTGACTTCAATTGGCCAGTATATGAGTAAAGCAAAAGAATATTAAATAATTAATATAAAATATTTATATTCTTGCTTTTTAACTTCTTTCATTCTGAAATATCTATATATTTATACTCCTTCACAAAAATAAAATGAGTATATTGAAATTAGCCTAGAGACTTGAAATTTGGATAATGGCGAAACGAAAACCGTATTGCACATTCAGCCATAGCAAAGATTTTACTACACTTTCTACACTTGTCAATACATATGTATTCAGATAGGATAATTTTGCTACAAAATTCACCTCTAAATAGGGGGTTTAGCTCTTAACTAATTCTACTAAATGTCTTGTAAAAATATAAAATTTGTGTACAGATTTTTCACTTCATAACAACTACAAAAAAAAAAAAAAAAAAACCCAAAATTTTATTTTTTCCAATACAACAATTAAAAATTAAGAAAAATCAATGAGTTGACTTTTTCCACTGAGAATATTTCAACAGCAATTTACAGTTCGCACAGCTTATTAAAAAAACAAGTAAGAACGTTGCAGTCGGGCGTTACCGACTGCGGAATACTCATTCACATCCCATCAACAATTTAGTAGTTAAGTTTCGCTCTAATACTGTAGAATATACAGGTTTTTCCGATTTGCCACGCCCCAACTGGGCGTAGACACCTCATTTTTGGTCAGTTTTTAGAAAGAGATAACGGTACCCTAACTGAAAAGTTTGAATGCTTACCCTCAAAAAATGTGAAAATTACAGGGTATTTTTCGATATGCCACGCCCCTAAGGAGGCGTAAAAATTATTTTTGGGGAATCGATAGAGGATGCTACCAGTAACTCAACTATCCAAATTTGAAGCTTCTAGCTATTATACTTTAGGAGATATAAACTTTTGCGGTTTGCCACGCCCCCTGTGGGCGGACATATATCCGACAAAACTTTTTGGTCTTGGGTGATCAGTCCGAGTATATATACAAAATTTGAGGTCTCTGCCATCAATAGTGTCCAAAATATAGGAGAATTTAAAAAATCACTATATCTTCAGGTCCGATTTGCCACGCCCCCATTGGGCGTAGACTTATAATTTATCTTCAGACTTTATAGAATCATACCATTAGCTGACGTGCAAAATTTCAGCACTTTAGGTTTACAACTTTAGGAGATACAGTTTTATCCTATTTGCCACGCCCCCAATGGGCGTAGATATATCCGCCATAGCTCGTGATCTTGGGTGGTCAACGCGGACCTACATACCAAATTTCAGCTTTCTAGCTCTTTAACTAACATGATTTCTGGTATATCGGAAAATGCATTTTCCGATTTGCCACGCCCCTAGTGGGCGGATCGGGAAAATTTTAACACTTTATAAATCGGAGATATACACGAGTATGTGTTCAAAATTTCAAGTCTCTAGCTTCAATAGCGCCGAAATAGATTGCGTTCATACGGACAGACGGACAGACGGACAGACGGACGGACGGACAGACGGACAGACGGACGGACAGCAAGACGGACATTGCACAAAACCAATATACTGATTCACTTTCGTGAATGAGTATAAAAACGCTTTCACATAGAACTTTATTCTACTATGACTTCGTATTTCTATACCTCGAACCACTCTACTTTATTCTGCTTTAACAGTAGTTATCCTAAGCGCTGCATCGATCTGCTATTTCAACAGTTAATTTTTGTTTTGTTTATACACACGCATACACTCTCAGATAGCCACATATAAGCATAGTACGCACTTTATGCAACAGCTGCGTTTCTTCCCATAGAGTCAGTCTATAT